TAAGCCGCCAGATATTCTCCGCAGTGGCGTAACCACCGTTGGACAAGGGGGAAATATCCATCTATGGAAAATCTTTCCCCATTGAAGATGCCCTTATCCCCCCGGAAAGTGCCTGAAACTCTCAAATTTGGTTTTTTGTTGGGGAAGGCCAATTTCCTCTAAAAGTTGCACATTTTAGGGAGTTTTGCTCAATTTCGACGTAATTAGAATTAAAAGCACAAAATTCTTTCGCGCGCTTCGCGCGCATTTTTTAAGGGTAAAGCTTGTGCTTGCCCTCCTTTGCCTTCTAAGTTATTTAAACACATAATAGTCCCAAACTCAAGAAAGAAAATTTAAGATAGATCGTTTTACCTAAAAGAAGGGCCTTAATGTGTAATGATGGTGAAAGAATATGTTTGTAATAAATAAAGCCATAATGAAAATGCTTATAGTCAGTTTCAAAAAAACGAATGTGGCCACATATAACATAAGCGCATTTCTTGTTGAGCTAGGCCAATTTCCTCTTAAAATTGCACATTTTAGGGAGTTTTGATCAATTTCGACGAAATTAGAATTAAAAACACTAAATTTTTTCGGGCGCATTTTTTAAGGTTAACGCTTGTGCTTGCCCTCCTTTGCCTTCTAAGTTATTTAAACACATAATAGTCCCAAACTCAAGAAAGAACATTTAAGATAGATCGTTTTACCTAAAAGAAGGGCCTCATTGTGTAATGATGGTAAAAGAATATGTTTGTAATAAATAAAGCCATAAAAGTTAATATCGGCTAAGGTAAATCTCCAAGAAGCCATAATATAGGCCTAGATGCATTAAGTAGTGAGTGCCACGATAACAGCACGTCCAGGGACATGAGCGATGCTCTTACAGTAAGTGGATACATTTCGTCCTACATATTAAGACAAGATGTAGGGCTACACAATGAAAGAAATTAAAATAATGACAGTAGGCATAGCGTGATGTGTTTGTTACTTATTTAGGCCTATTTTATGTTTCATTTAAAGACTTAGTGACAATAAACGCTGATTATACGTTTTCGGTGACTACGTCAGAATGGGATAACGTACCATGTAGTCTTGTTACGATTGACGACATGTCCGAGCAAAATGAAATAGCCAATGCACCGGATAACAACGACGACATGTGGATTGGGCTTCATAAGGTAAGTGCATATTTTTTGCTAAAACAGTGTTCGCACTGGATTCATTTTGACTGGTTTACTTTTCAATTTCAAATAATTAATTTCTATTTATCAAAAATTTAAATAACCAGTACAAATAGTCAATAAGTAGGCCTAAGGCTTGTAATATGCCTACACAACGATTAGTGGAAAAGGTATTCCAACCATTAACATCTAATCGTTGTTATGGTTGGAATACCTTTTCCAACCATTAACATCTATCGTTGTTAATGGTTGGAAAAGGTATTCCAACCATTAACATCTAATCGTTGTTAATGGTTGGAATACCTTTTCCAACCATTAACATCTAATCGTTGTTAATGGTTGGAAAAGGTATTCCAACCATTAACAACGATTAGATGTGGGATTGGGCTTATATATGTGTTTTTTTTTTATTACTAAGCCTCATCGGAATTAATCAATTTTACTAACAACAGTAAGCCTATTAAGTTTCATCATAATACAATATAAGATTATTGATTCTCTGAATAATTATCAGTAACACATCGACTAACATTTGTTTAAGGTAGCGAACTCACCAGAATTTACCTGGATAGATAATACAGCACGGGATTACATAAATTTCCAGCCAAATGACCGACCCAGTATTAGTGACCGTAAGACTTTATGGTTTTTTATCTGTTAAATTGTGATAGACTATGTTATACGGTATATGTACACTAAGTCAAAAAAAAGATAATATACAAGTCTCCATCTAATTAAAGACCACTTTTGGTTTTTCGCTACTTTGGTCTCTAAATAGAATAACAAAAGATAAGACATTTGTTAATTTAGGACGACAGAAAAGTAGTCTTTAATTGTAGGTGATCTTTAATTGGAGGGTCTTTAATTATAGGGAGATCTGTATTCGATGTTAGCTTTGATATTAACATATTTTTACACACACCGCACTTGATTGCGCGGAGAAATTATCTAAAACCGGTGCGGCGCAGAAACACTACCGGTACTTAATTTTAAATTGCCAAAAGGTGTTTTTCAAATAATATAGACAGCAGGTACGGTAAATGTTTAAAGTGTTAGATTGAGAAATATATTAGCCTCCTTCAAATCACCACCAAGCTTAGGACTTACATCCGGGGTTTTCACACATTATACATAGGCCTAAGTTGTATACTGTTGCATACTAATTTGTGCATAATTAATATAATTGAAATAAATACGGTTAATTGTACTGTACTGATAATCATTCAACCATATTCAACGTATTTGTGAGCTTTTCATCCTTTTTTTCTGCATGTATAGGCTTATACGCGGAAAGACTCAATGATAAAATATTTCTATATTATTTATATATAATGTCAGCCATCTTTATCTCTCTTATATTGATAACATCTTTATTGCATGCTAACTGGACCTGATGTACGTTCACCATTATCTACAGGTAAATGTGTTTACATGACAGGAGGAAATAACAACAAATGGCAATCGAAGGACTGTAATACTCGTTTGAAATACATCTGCGAAACACGTAAGCTAATTCAGAGTTACACATTTTGCTACTAACATATTGATTAACTAATCTATGCCAATTTTCAGCATTTAAGGATGAAAATCTTAATAATTCATTGGTGACAATCATCAGGCATGAAAGACTAACAGTAATTTTGAATGCTTACTAGAGCCTTTAGCCGTACAGTATTGTTCACAAATTACATGATGGGAGGCACACCTTTTCAAAAATAGGGAATAGGCCTAACTTCTTGATGGGGAAGCTATTGACCACGGTTGTAGTACGGTCAACAGTTCAACTAAGTTTTTGTTAATGTAATCCAGAATCTAGAATTTGATTTCAACAAAAGTGGTATAAGTATATTCATTTCACTTAGTGGTTAGTAGAAAACCACTACTAACCACTAACACTATCACCACTACCACCCAGTGACGGCTCCAGTGGGGGGCAGGGGTATTTCCCCAGATAATTTTCTTGCTCCTACCCCAGTTTTCCCCGTAAAAAATGATATGTATTTTCTTTAGTAGAGATTATCTATCTGAAAATCGATAGAATAAGCGTCAGAACCCCCTAAATTTGTCATGTTTTTCGGGGGTTTGCCCACTGGACCACTGTCAAGATATTTTGAGCGACGCCCGACCACGCCCACTCCTGGCCACCTCAGCATATTGCCGCCCCTAAAATATTACCTCCCCCCCAAAAAAAAATTTTAGACGCTCGCGCCGTCACACACTACTACAACACCACACCACTACCATTAATACTACTACCACCACCACTACGACTACCACTACCACTGCGAACTCTCCCTGAAAAGGCGAGCATGATACCGCTACACCACAAAGACCTATGCCTAAGTATTGTCACAGATTATATCCATCCAGCCAGACACACACACTTGCTGCTCCTTTCCTCCATGCTTCAACCTAGAAGCTAGACGCAAAGAGTGGCTGTGGAAAGGCTGGCGAGACCTCTAGGGTAGTCGCAGCTGAACGTAATGTAAATCAACATATATAAGTAATAGTACAGTATGCTGCGTAGTAAGACATAATATAGATATAAAAAGTATTTAACCTACAATATAATTTGTATTTATGGCAATATGAAATAAGCAAAACTAAATTTGAACGAACCGTTAAAGCTACTCGCCGCAGAATAGGTACCGACCTACCGATAATTTAGATGTTTATGAAGATCACATTAGATATAACTACTGGAATAATGGACCGGGACAGCACCCAACCCTTGTATGAGTTATTTAAGTACAATTGCTCAGGATTCCGAGTGAAATAAAATGTAAAAACAATGAAAAAACGGTTTTCAATCATTTAAAGTTGACTTGCGGAACACAAATTTATTAAACTATAACAAAATCAAACGGATCTTCGATAGCTCCTATTATTTCTACTTATGTACATTTTATTATATTCATTGATTTCTAAACTGTATTTAATAGTCATTATGATATCATGCGTTATATTATTTAAACTCATACATATACCTTTATATTTCTGCAATTTATTTTCTATTCCACATTTGTTTTAATGATATAGGACCTTATATTATTCTTACTATATTTTATTTCCTGTTACTGTTTACTGTAGTTAAATTACTCTCAATTAAAGTCTTAGCATTAAGCTGGTTCAATACAATGGCACCGCCAATAAACTATCGCTTACATAATCATTTTGCCGACATCTTATCATGGTTTAATTGTAATTAATTCGCCCATTAACTTGTTACTGATCTTATATTTTGTGGGCCAATCAACTAATTGTATCTTTAACTTGATTCCGATTGGTTAATACCATTAATTATTCTTTATATATGTGCAAGGTCGCCAAAGTTTTATCATTTTAACGTTGATAAAGATGGCAGGAGCTATCGAAAATTATCCGTTTGATTTTGTTATAGTTTAATAAATTTGTGTTCCGCAAGTCAACTTTACATCTAGATGTGTATAAGAGACAGCAATAAAATATTATTATTATTATATTAATTATTATATTATTGTTACTATTAGCTTCGGTAATAGTAACTACACCAGAGTCAACTACGCCCGAACCGCCAACAACAACTGCGATGTCGGTAACTACGCCAAAACCAACGACCGACCCGGAACCGACAACTACGATGACGGTAACTACGCCTGTACCAACCACCGACCCGGAACTGACAACTACGATGTCGGTAACTACGCCAAAACCAACCACCGACCCGGAACCGACAACTACGATGATGGTAACTACGCCTGTACCAACCACCGACCCGGAACCGACAACTACGATGTCGGTAACTACGCCCAAATCGACGACCGACTCGGAACCGACAACTAAAATGATGGTAACTACACCTGAACTAACCACCGACCCGGAACCAGCAACTACGATGTCTGTAACTACGCCTAAACCAACGACCGACTCGGAACTGACAACTACGATGTCGGTGACTACGCCTGAACCAACCACCGACTCAGGACCGACAACTACGATGTTGGTAACTACACCCAAACCAACGACCGACCCGGAACCGAAAACTACGATGACGGTGACTACGCCCGAACCAACTACCGACCCTGAACCGACAACTAAAATTACGGTAACTACGCCCGAACCAACCACCGACTCAGAACCGACAACTACGATGTCGGTAACTACACCCAAACCAACGACCAACCTGGAACCGACAACTACGATGTCAGAACCAACATCCATACTTATGAACTGTTTAAGAAATCTCACATATAATGGTAAGTTAAATTTCCCGTTGGAATGTATACTGAATGTCATTATGTACGAATTCATAAATATAGTAACTGGATATTCCTTTCTTTATTCAGATCAAAAAACTGTTTTCATGAGAAATATACCGATTAGTGAAACTTTCAACGAAGTTTGCTCTTTTGATTACGTCATCGCTCGCCATGTGTCGGTCTCTCGGACACGATGTGTTTTAGGGTGCAAGCATCATGAGGCTTGTTATTCTGTCAACATCGTAGAAGTTTCACCTGGTGATAATTTGGACGGTAGCAGACACTTCTATTGTGAATGGATAGGTGCTAAGCAAGTTGGTACTGATGCCATAATGCAATTGGATACACATCGGAACATTCGAGCTCGTTTTCAATTCGTGAAAATGCACTAGTGCTGCTCGTGTTAGGTCCCTAAGCAAATCGTCATCAACATCATAATAATGATTGTGACTTAAAGATTATTCATAGAACTGTGGTGACAGAAAATGGGGTGTCCACCCAGAGGCTTCACACCCTGAGAGCATTGACAATGAATTTTATCATGTTCAGTGAGTCCTCCTGTAGTAATTCATAAAAATACGAGAAAAGGGCCACTGAAGTGAAGTTAGACTATGTAGTATCAAAAGGTGGCCTTGGGTTTTTATAAAAAGAAACACTCGAAACAAAAAAAAAGTAGTATTTATGTGGTCTACGGTAATAAAACATGATTTTGTACATTAATATACTGTACTACTTAATGAAAGTGCTAGGCGGAGTTTGTCTGATTTTGCACAATTTCAACCAATTATAGGCCTACTTGTAAAAACTTTATCTTCGTTGTTAGTTTCTGATCACAGAGCATTTATTTTCGAAAATCCGAAAAACGTCCCTGGTTGCGATACAGGTATCCCCCTCTATTTAAGACCCCTCCAATTAAAGACCACGTCCAGGTAAAGACCACTTTTCTGTGGTCCCAAATTAACAAATGTCTTTTATCTTTATTGTTATTAGAAACCAAAGTTGCTAAAGGCCATGGAAACCCCGATCCGAAAAGTGATCTTTAATTGGAAGGATACCTGTATGAAATAAAATTCTTAGTTAAATGATGATTATGCTCATGTTTTATCATAATGAATTTAAAATTGTTAGCACTGATCAAACAGTCTACATAACGGTATTACTGGTACTTTTAGCCATCTGATTTCAGACATTTGGCAGCCATTAAAAAACACATACTGTATTGGAAACACACTTTGATTAATTGAAGATGTGAAAAAAAATCATAATTTTTTTGTTTATCTCTTTTAAATGGATCTTAATATGGTAGGCCTATTCGATATAATAGGAAACATATAATATACGTACAGTAGTTCTAAGACAATTACATTTTTAGTAAAGTAAGTGGCAGTCGCCTGGTAAAGATTTATGAGCCTTTTCGGATCGTCAATCAAATTTTAACAAATGAATCAGAAGGGCCTTATGAGCTTCTACAAACTTACCTATCATATTAAAATATAAATAAAATTAAGAGGAATAACTGCTAATATGATAAAATAAGCTTATTTTATTTATATTTTAATATGATTGGTAAGCTAATATCTGCAATGGCGTATCTAGGAGATGCACAAGACTCTTGGATACGTTACTGATTGGGGGAATTCTCTACGTATTTGTACTGTGATAAACTGTATATGTGTGTACATAATTTACCCGAAGATGATCAAATAAAGTGGGAAATACTGAATCACAATGGCTTGTATAACCTTTTTTTCGGAGTTTGATTCACATCATTTTATGTCAAACTTATCGGTAAACCACATGGTTGGGTTTTCTAAATCTGAACAGTGTGAAACTTAAGCTACTTGGGGAGATTCCCGTCATGTCTACTATTCATTACATGACAACGAAAGGATTGATATCTTTTAACACTACAGCCAGCCTCTATAAAAGGGACACCACTATTAAGGGGACAGGGACACTTTCTGAGTGTGCCAAATGGTCCAATCAATAAATGTTTAACCCCTGGGCGCTTATAAGGGGCATATATTTTTTTTACTGTACCAATTACAGCAGTCTAAAATTTAAAAAAAAAATTCATTGAACTTTAAATTTTGACACATTTGAGCAATAAACTTAACAAAAATTCTCTCCCTTGTATAATAAGACAATTTTGACCCTTATAACCACATGGGGATTTCTTTTTCCTTGTGGCCTATTTGTGTACTTTCATATAAGATTCTAATCCACCATGTAGGCATGCCCTCGATTTATAAGTCGTTACTCTCTTTATCCAACAGAAAGCACAATGAAAAAAAAAAAATTTGCATCATGAAATAATATTGGGAACTTATAAAACATTTGTTGTTTTAAAAGTAAAGGTAATAACCCATAACTTGCAGATCATTGTGCTGAATTGCGTATGGGCGTGGTTGGTGACAACCTAGCTGCCGTAAATAGGCGCTTCATGGTAGATACAAGTTCACATCATTCCACAACGACACTCGACAGGGACGGAAATGAACCATAACATCGGGGTAACCCCTACTCTTCCGAAAAATGCAATGGGTTCTTTAAAGTGCACACGAGCCAGATGCATGGGCTACACTGGACCTCCATTATAAGTCCATATCCTAAAAGACTTGGTTCTACCAACTGAACCATATGGGCGAGGAGCGGCTGGAACCAGCGCCGATGTTAAGGACGTAGCTGCGGCACCACTGCTTACCGCTTGGCCACATACATTAATTACATTTCTGCTGATTTCTCATTATAAATTAATTTATAACGATAATAGCACATAACGTATTTGATGGTCGAATATTAAACGAAAAGAAACGACTGCACATTATGGGGTGTTTGCACAGAACCGACGATACTAACGGCGTTCCATACTCTGATGTGTTTTTCGTCGCCTCTCCAAAATAATCAATTGAACCGGAAGTTTTTATTTTTTCAACTGACGGGGTCAAGTTGAATGTAGTGTGTCGTATTTAATCAGTAATAATGAGAATTCTTACTATTTCGAGTGTCAAAAAGTGTTTTTTGTCAAGCAGTCTAGGCCTGCAGTCTTTAGAGTATGAGATTTCACCCATTCGAAATCGCAGGGCTCTGTTGAACAATCGACGGGGACGTGCTTGCGGGACAGACACCGTTGTCTCCCAAGAACTTTTAGTTGTGAATGACAGAAACACTTCTGGGCCCAGGCCTAGTTGTGATTTTCTTTCCAGTAATAATTTGCTTCTTACCAGACACCAGCACACTTTACTACAACCTCACCGAAAGCCCATCAATGGTGTATCGTCATTTTTTAGTGTTAATGTTAGAAAATTTTCCTCAAATCCGGATGAACGTGTGAGAATAAAGCCTGTGTTTGTAGCAGTTCCAAACCCGATTAGGGCAATACGAAACTTCGTTTATTCATGGTTGATTCGAGGCTACTTTGATAAAGAATTTTCGATGGTAGAATTCACAGAAGGTGCTAAACAGGTCAATATATTTATTTATGTACTGTATTAATTAATTTATTCTGACTTCAGAATTATTGTCTCATTAGAGTAGTACTACAAAGAAAGTCTATAGTACTAATTATTCACTTAACTTCAGTATGAGATATGAAAATACAATTTTGAGATGGGAATTCATGTTCTGTTTGTGATGTTTATGCTTTATACTTTCCTGATTTCCAGATACTGTACTGTGGATTGGATTGGATTTATTTGGTGTAAACACCAAGGATAGCCCACAAAAGTCTAGAAGAAGACTTATTTCCAGTGGGATCCTTCTGGTGGTGATTGGGCAGTACACCGGGAGACAATCCCCTACTCTTTCCAAAGAGTGTAATGCGTTCTTTAAACGTGCACATGGGCCATCAATTCACATGGGGCCAACAGCTTAAACATCTCATCCGAAAGACGGTTCGCTAATATAACTTGTATTTCAGCCCTCCAGCTGAAATACAAGGAGAGGCAGCGATGGGAATTGAACCAGGGACCTAGAGATCTTCATGGTTCATCGCACACACAGTGGCTACTGTACCAGCAGATTAGCCGACTGAGCTAAACTGCTCTCTCTGTGAAATTAATGTTTTTTTTTTATAATGCTGTTCAGCTTGATTTATTTTGATATTTTTAAGTTTAAATGATAATTTTGTTTGATTTCAGGCAGTTAGTGTTGTGTCACAGAAAATTTCTGAAGGGAATTTTGAAGAGCTAGTTGGCTTACTCTCCCCAAAGGTATGAAAAATAGTGTTAAAACAAAATTTACATGTTGGCATTGGCAAATTATACAAATGATTCTCGGCTCTTAGCAGGCTCAAGATTCTCCCTGCCCAGGTATAATGTAACTTGGCATTGTGCTGCAAATTTTTGCAATATAAGAAGCTATGGTACATGAATGTTCAGAGGGATAGATAGGGGAAAATGCGGCATATTTCATGAAAAGAATTTGAGTCAACTCAGCCCCATGTCAACTCGGCCCCGGGTAGTCAACTTTGAATGCAAAGTCAAAACTGAAGTGTTTTATGTCGTTGCTTTGTTTTTCTTTTCATTTACATCCACTTAACAATACAGTAATTGAAAATGCATTTATAAGAATAATAATATAATAATATTAATAATAACAATATAAAAAGGTATAATAGAACTAATAATGACAATAACAATATGATGACAATAATAATGATGTAACAATGACAATACTTAATGAGTTATAGACATATTAAATATACTTATTAAATATGCTTATATGTATACTTATATATATATATTATATATATATATATATTGAAATATATATAGACATTAGATATACTTTATATATATATTAAAATATATATAAGCCTATATGTATATCAATTATGATATAATACATAAAATTGAAACCGTCTTTGTGTATAAAAAATAATAAGAAACGAATAGCATATGTATGGACTATGTAAACACTTTATTAGGGAAAACAAAGCTATACCAAAGGTACCATATATGTATATATACACACACACGCACACGCACAGCACACACACAGCACACACACACACACACGCACACACACACACACACACACACACATATTGAGGAACACAAACTTAGGGGCCGAGTAAACTACTTGGGACCGAGTTGACTTGGGGCCGAGTTGACTTGGGGCCTAGTTGACTTGGGGCCGAGTTGACTTGGGGCCAAGTTGATTGGGGCCGAGTTGACCTGCTTCCCATGAAAATTTGATAGTTTAAAGAAGGGACATGATAATGTCGAGGAGGCAGGAATCCCTCTTTATGACACTACAGTATTTTACACAAATTTTTCTGAAAATGTGATTTTTAAAGAAGAAATTTTATGAAAGGAAATAATTTGTTAATTAAATGTCATATTTGATATTGCTTTCAGACTATAGATGAAATAAAAGAAACATACAAAACACTTGAAGTAAAGCAGAGAGGAAGCCTAGCAATAGCATTGGAAGATATCCTACATGTTGTGCCTTATAACGTTGCAGTGCATTATGATCAAGCTGGTAAGTCTTTTTGATGACATGGTGGCAGCTTTATGGCATGGTGGGTGGGGTGCCTGGCTCCTAAAGGGTTCAATCATTTCAACTTACATAATTATTTTCATGAAAAATATAAAATAAGTTATATTTGTTGGAGATAAAGTTGTTGTAAAAAAAAAAATCATGGTCTTTAAAGGATTTGAAAACAGTGCCATCAATCAGTCGAATTTATATTGCGCCAGATATCCAGAAAATGGAATATGCTCAGTGATGCTCATGACCTTTGGCAGAACAACAAGGCTTAAGCTCTGTCCAGACTATCAAATTTTATTTGACAAGCATGTGACATGCCTAAATATGGTCATGATGACATCACATCATGACCATATATAGGCACATCATGACTATGTATGGGCATACAGCAGATGTTTGACAAAGAATTTTTATTTTATGTATTTATTTATTTTTATTCATTTATCTATTTTTTTTATCATTTCTGTTAATTTGGCCTAATTATAAGTATTAACATATAAAGTGAATTTTTGTTGGCAATTCATTTATATTTGAAAGTTTTCAATTAATTGAACATCTAATTCTTTAAGTTTCAATATAGTTTAATTGTTTTGTGTAGTATCAATTCTTACCTTCTATAAATGTTATTAATCTGTATAGGGGAGTAACTTGTTTATATGGTCTTATGCCTGCTCAGTAACCCTTGCTTGCTTTGTTTTGTTTGTTCCATTTACTTGATTGAATTGTGTTTGTAATCCATGTTGTTGATTTGAAAATTTAATAATCTGGACAGAGATTAAGGGTAAACTTGACCAAAAACATACAAAATTTAGGAAAATTAAAAAAGACAAAACAAGATGATTTATGCAAGAGTGGTGCTGCCGATCAACCCACGATAAAAACAATGGTTTTGCATACCTGCATAACAGTTGTATTATATTTATTGAAAAGCAAAGGAATATTGGTTTAAGTCTTGCTTTGAAAATGCTGAGAGTAGCACTGAATTTGATGGAAAGGGGAAGATTTATTGTTCCAGAGAATTGGAGGTGCAGCTCTTCCAGACCTCCTTCCCATGTGTTAAGCTGCCTTGAAACTGGAAGGCAACCATCTAATAAAGCTATATGCAGACTATCAGTATTTTAATAAATCACTTTTATTCATCATTCAAAAAATAGACCTATACACAACATTAAAATAAACACGAAATTGAATTGAATAAAAGGAAACAAAAAACCCCTGACGAACATGCAGGGGTACCACAGGACACAAAGAACAACAAGGAACGATAATAAAAGAAAAAAAATAAAGCAGTTCAACGACGTGGACCTGATGTTCCCAAAAATCAGAGAAACAACAGATCTTAAAAGTTGAATAGGGCTGGGTTCACCCAGGTGGGTTCATATCTGGCATAATAAAAAATACTAAGATGAAATTAAGGCAATTGTTTAAATGTCTTTAAAAGACTTAAAGGATATTGAACAGTTAATGGTTTTATAGATAGTTTTAAAGCATTTATTGTTGTCATCAGAGATGAACCCCCTGGAACCCATGTCCAGAGCAACAAATTTGACTTTCAACCCAGAACCGAGGATGTCCAAAACCAGTGGTGCATATGTTGTTCTTGAATGTGTGAGCGTTATCAAATCTCAGATAAAATATAATTTTCCATTTACAGATGTTCTACTATCAAAATCCCTACACTGCTAAAAATGACAAAGATTGCATTTTTTTAAATGTATGTTCATTTTTAAGAACAATTATTTGCTTGCATTAATTTTCAGTTTAAGAAAAATAATTGCCAATTGAAATAATCAAATTAATATTTATCACAAAACCTTGTTGATTAAAGTTTAACTGTATTTACAAATTCAGTTCTTAAAGTTTATAAATTTATTTTTATCTTTCATTTTAAGGTGGAAAATTTTTGAACATCCTGATGAGGTTTTGGTGTTTAAGTTTCAATACTCAACAGAATGAGCCAGGTATAATTGGCTTCAAGGTTGGTCAGCCTCCTCCTGGTGTTTCAGAAGAACAGTTTAAGAATATGGGCAAAGTTTTTACCTGCACTTTTGAGTATGTTGCATCAGATTTTAAGTCAATTTGATATCTGTTATTTATAAGTAGATTTATTTATTAATCATCAGACACTTACGTTAGTTTTCTTTTGTTGATATGAGTAGTTATAGACTTATGAGTAGTTATAGACTTAAGATACTAAAAATTATACAGAAAAAAGTACAATAATTAATAGTAATATTTGATATAAAAAAAGTTGTAGATTCTGGTTTATAAAGTGTAAACTATATATAAAATATATCTTGGTATGGAATATTTTATTTCTGATTGAACAAAACAAAATCATCAAAAAAAGTAATATAAGTACTGTATAATTTAAATGGATAACTATAATTCCCCTATGTTTATTTTTTTTTATGCTTAGGTTCCACCGTGATGTTTCGTCTGATGATGACCCAAGCTGGACAATAACTCAAGTGACACTTGGTAAACTGTTGAGTACGTCTTCAGATGGGTTTCCTGGTGGGGAATTGCAATAGAATTGTGAATGTGTACAGGGATCTTATATCCTATATATACTGCTACTCTGTGTAGCCCTGACCAATGATATATGTACCTTGCTGTGATTGGGACTCATCATCATACAGTTTCAAGCAATTGTCAAAGGATGTTAATAGCGTTGCCTGGCACTCACTGCTTTGTATGGCTGTCGGCCTACGAATCCAACTCCGCTCCCTGCTGATTGTTGGTGGCAGCCTGAGTGGATCGTTATTATAAACGAGTCGTTTACGCAGGCATTTTGGCATTGCATTCTCCATAGAATCGTGCAGTGGGGGCTGGCATTAGGATCACATCAGGGAAGGGGAGATTTTAAGTTAGCAATTAAATTATAAGGCCATTTCATTGATGTTTAATGATATATACAGTATAGAATGACAAATATTTTTAAGCTGTAAATACTGTATAATAAATACAAAGTGCAAAATATTTGGTATCTACATCAACAGTGTAAATCATTCTGGAGAGTCTTAGACCTGTTCAACAACAGTGTATTACTTCCTGGGTCAGTGGTGTAACAAAGAGGTATGATGCCCCTGGGGGGATAGCCTTGCCCACTTCGGCATACTTTTAGTTTTAACGAAGTATTTTTATGCTTTTTTACACATTAGTACTCTTTAAAAAAGGCCCACTCTGCCAATGTATGGGACAAAGTGCTGATAAAAATAACCAGGGGGCCCTTTAGCTAGTGAGAGCTCCTAGCTATTGTGCAGTGATGTCATAATGTAAATGCGCATGTCTGAACTTTTTGGTACCCTCCTGAAAACAGTTGTTGGCCGAATCTATGGCATTCTGGACAGAACCATAAGTGATTGACCAAGTTGAAGTGTGCCTCTTTTTCCATTTATCACATCTCTGCATAATATGCATCAAAGTTGTTCTATGTTTTCATTATAAAATCTCCCTATATGCCAAAACCTGAACCTAAAATGCAATAGCAGCTTAAACCTTCCCTGTACACCACAATGCTACGTCTTTGACCAGGTACTCTATTTTATAATGTCATCTATGCAGAATATCTACTTTGTTTTTTGATACAATATTATGCATCATAGAAATAATGTGCTTGGGAATTTGCATGTCATATTTAAAATTATGCTGATGTTAAAGCAACAACACCATATACTGTAGTCCAATATTGAAGAGGAGTGATTGACATTTAATTCTGATAAAAATATAAATATTTTATGTTGTGAATATCTTTGAAGAAAAGTATTGTAGCAAGTGTGACAAAGTACTATTTTCATTGATGACAATGCAATATGTTGATGGCTATTCGCCAGTCAGATTCTGAAACCTGAATGTCTTAGCCAATCAGATGACTAGAATATATGTTTGTGCCTTAGCCTATCAAAAACTAGATTCGACTAGATCATTAGCTATTGGATATTTTTATTCCAATTTTGTTGCACACTGTTGAATTAAATTTCGTTTCTTGATATTGTGTAGCAGGAGTTTTCTTTTTGGTGGTTGGGGTCGCTCCGAAGATTTGAGCATTTTTAAGCGGTTTTAAAACGATTAATTTCAGGGAAAGCCACATACAATTTGAGCTTCAAGTGTATGTTTAATTTGAGCACCCGAACTATGTACACAAAAATTTCACTATTCAAACAAAAAACGAATAGGCATATTGATCAATTTTTAGTAACACGTCAGTGAATTCACGTAAATACTGTACTTACCTGACTACGTGCGTGTTTGATACTAACCGACAAATGCAGTTTCAGTCACTGAACGACGTTTTTTATATTTTTAATAAAACACATTTTCAATACATTTTCCCCTAAATTCGTGATAATTCGTTATCACGCCTAGACTTGTGCTAATTGCGTGTCAAATTTTTGATCACGCATGTGTTTCATCCGAAATCGCTTTGAAATGCGGGACCGTCCCGCATTATGCGATACGGTTGCTAACTATGTAACCGGTTACTCCTTGACCCCTGCATGGACTTCTGTTTATATGAAAGTTAACCAATATTATAATTTGCTGTAACGTAACATGATATGCAGAAATGTTCATGAATGAAAATTAATATCAACAATTAACAAATCCCAACATTGTTATCTGATATTGGTAGTCTGTATAGATGTGCCTTTCCTTTTGTGCTGGGATGGATACAGGTTTGGTGCAGACGGTACGATCGCACTCCCCTATAAGTTGCATTAAAGAAAAATAATTGTATTTTATTGTTGATATGAATTACCGGTAAGATATTTTGGATTAGTCCACCAGAAATACGGATTTGAAGCACCAAAGTTGGACATAATTGCAACAAAACGTTTTTTTATGAATATATATAGTTAAATTTTATATCTAAAACATACAAAAAGTTTACCAAAATATACCCACGGGAAAGGTGATTTCTATAGCAAAGAAAACTGAACTATTTCACTGGGCTTATACGCCGTGCCTAGGATGTGTGTGCTGTGCCTTGGTTACGAAGCGCTTTAATTTGATTTGCCGCTGACGCTTTTGATTGGTTAACATACCTTTATGCAGAATATCTACTTTGTTTTTTGATACAATATTATGCATCATAGAAATAATGTGCTTGGGAATTTGCATGTCATATTTAAAATTATGCTGATGTTAAAGCAACAACACCATATACTGTAGTCCAATATTGAAGAGGAGTGATTGACATTTAATTCTGATAAAAATATAAATATTTTATGTTGTGAATATCTTTGAAGAAAAGTATTGTAGCAAGTGTGACAAAGTACTATTTTCATTGATGACAATGCAATATGTTGATGGCTATTCGCCAGTCAGATTCTGAAACCTGAATGTCTTAGCCAATCAGATGACTAGAATATATGTTTGTGCCTTAGCCTATCAAAAACTAGATTCGACTAGATCATTAGCTATTGGATATTTTTATTCCAATTTTGTTGCACACTGTTGAATTAAATTTCGTTTCTTGATATTGTGTAGCAGGAGTTTTCTTTTTGGTGGTTGGGGTCGCTCCGAAGATTTGAGCATTTTTAAGCGGTTTTAAAACGATTAATTTCAGGGAAAGCCACATACAATTTGAGCTTCAAGTGTATGTTTAATTTGAGCACCCGAACTATGTACACAAACATTTCACTATTCAAACAAAAAACGAATAGGCATATTAATCAATTTTTAGTAACACGTCAGTGAATTCACGTAAATACTGTACTTACCTGACTACGTGCGTGTTTGATACTAACCGACAAATGCAGTTTCAGTCACTGAACGACGTTTTTTTATATTTTTAATAAAATACATTTTCAATACATTTTCCCCTAAATTCGTGATAATTCGTTATCACGCATAGACTTGTGCTAATTGCGTGACAAATTTATGATCACGCATGTGTTTCATCCAAAATCGCTTTGAAATGCGGGACCGTCCCGCATTATTCGATACGGTTGCTATTTATGTAACCGGTTACACATTGACCCCTGCATGGACTTCTGTTTATATGAAAGTTAACCAATATTATAATTTGCTGTAACGTAACATGATAGGCAGAAATGTTCATGAATGAAAATTAATATCAACAATTAACAAATGTTATTAATTATTTATTAACACTGTTATCTGGTATTGGTAGTCTTTATAGATGTCCCTTTTCTTTTGTGCTGGGATGGCTGCAGGTTAGGTGCAGACGGTACGATTGCATTCCCCTATAAGTTGCATTAAAGAAAAATAATTGTATTTTCCTGTTGATATGAATTACCGGTAAGATATTTTGGATATGAGAGTGCAATTTCCGTTCACCTAGAGGTCAATATTTTTAAAAATATTCTGCCCTCAGACCCAACCATGGTGGGGCTAATGTGGTCTGGACTCTCACAAACCCCTACCGCCAAATCCTGCATCCACCCCGGGGTTGTGAAGCGCAAGCCAATGCTTCGACAGTTATATGCCATATTAGACGCATATCAAGCTTATCCGTACAGAAGTATCATATTATTATGCCATGTTCATATTCTTACAGATATATCTGTTTTATCAAATAAATCTGTTTACCAGTTGTCCATCGACCTAAAACACCATTAATTTGCTTGCATGATTCCGCGTCTGCTTTATAATGATGTACAAAAACAATAACGATGATAATTACTTTATTGTATTTTGCTCTTTATTTTGCAATTCATTGTAAAGCACTAGTGACAACTTCGGTTAAACCGTCGCTATATAAATTTTTGAATCAATCAATCAACCAATCAATCAATCAATCTATCTATCTATCTATCTATCTATCTATCTATCTATCTATCTTATCTATCTATCTATCTATCTATCAATCAATCAATCAATCTATCTATCTATCTATCTATCTATCTATCTATCTATCTATCTATCTATCTATCTATCTATCTATCTATCAACCAATCAATCTATCTATCTATAATAATAATGATGACAATAATAATAATAATAATAATAATAATAATAATAATAATAATAATAATAATAATAATGGGGCCTAATAATAATGATGATGATGATGATGATGATAATAATAGTAGGCATAATAAATAATAGTAATAATAATAATAATAATTAATAATAACTTTATTATTTATTCACGGTCGAATACGATAAAAATTTGACTCGACACAAATATTAAACGTTAGTTTTTAGCAAGGCCATGTCTTTAACTACCTAAATAAGCCTTCAACTTAAAACTAAGAAAATGACACCCTACAGCTTCCAAATGTAAAAACATTATGCAGGGTAAGGCAATTAATCACAATTAAAGGAAGATTAGTATAATATTTTATATCAATTCAATTCAATCTATTCAAAAATAACCTACAAAGAAGGAGAAGCATACTAAAAACACGTTCAAACATTCGGAAATAAAACATTGACTTAAATTATAAACCCGGGTCAAATAATATAAACACTGCACAAGGTCACTTAACTTATATCTATTGTTAAGAGAGGGTCAATCTCCATAGTGGTTTTTTACACTGTCACAGATACCGTGATCATTACAGTCGCCGATGCGTTTTAACCTGTTATTCAGATCTTTGCGATAGTGATTATTTGTGACATACAATGATAAGTGAAAATCATTCACATCACCGGTACTGCACTTAATCTTATCGACCAGTGTTCTTAATGTTTTTACAGCCATTGGCCTCAACATTTAAAATGTGACCATATAATTTTCTCGATTTAGAGTTATTACAAAAAATCTGGTTAATAAGATTAAGTTGATTTGTTCTGATTTGACACTGAATTTTACTGATACTTAGGACATGCAAAAGTGGGGTGTTCCTACAGAACTTCGGGAGACCAATCGCAGTTTTAATCAATTTACTTAGTGCAGTTTCTAAGTTTCTAATAGCACTAGCATTTGTGTTAACACATTCACATCCATAGGTTAGTATCGGTAGCATTATTTCCAAATATGACTCTTAACATTATAAGATGAACCGTTTCTACACATTCCAATACTTTGAAGGGAATAAAAGGCCCTTTGACATTTTCTAACTCTGTCTTGAACATGATTGGAAATGTGACAGAAATATTATAGGCCTCAATAATACCATATTATTCAATATTATATATATGCAAATCAAGTTATTATTATTTATCTATTTGTTATTTTTTAATAATATATTTGTATTATATATATATATATATATATATATATGTATATATATATATATATATATAATAATAATGAAAGAATATGTTTGTAATAAATAAAACCATGATGAAAATGCTTATATTTAGTTTTAAACACACGTGTGTGGCCAATATTATAAATAAGATAAGCCCTATGTCGTATTGTTTTCTATATGGGGAGTGGCGTGGGGTGGGATGGGTATGGTAAATTACGCCTAGTGTTAGCGCCAATGTGTGCCCTTGTGCGGGCAGGGGATGTGCCCCCCCCCCCTCTGAAGCTGGAAACCTTGTTTTTGCAAAATAAATTGATGCAATTTGCTATTATAGGCCTAATCAATAAATTCCTCATCAACCGATATAACCTTAAACATTCTTGGAATTGACATAACATTACTGATGTCGTACACACCCTTCTATTTGCAAGCACATCTAACATCTAAGGAAAGAAGAGCTTAAATTGGTACCAGATAAAATAATTTTGTTATCAACATTAATACATTATGCTAATTTTCATCTTTGTAAGCGCATAAGACAGTGCAAATTATTTCTGTGACAGTCTTTTGAAGTGTGTAAAGCTCCATTTTATCCCATACATAGTCAAAATATTGGGGGGGGGGGATGATACAATGGACCATCCCCCCTTGTCAAATATTGGGGGATATATCCCCCCATCCCCCGGGATCTACGCCTATGCCCATAAGTTAGTATCGGTAACATTATGGACTTCCAAATATCTAAACATTATAAGATGAACCGTTTCTACACATTCCAATAAAACCAATAAGTCAAAACGTTACGATTAAAAATGATATCAACTATCATGGAATGAAATAAAATATGCAATTTACAAAAAAAATGTAATAATTCTAAACGTAAAATTAAAATGTTAATTTTGCCTTGTGTATAAGTTTGTGTTGACTTTTCTCATTTAGACTGACTCACTTCGCTATCGTTTCTGTTTTCTGCTAATCTGTTAAGGCCAACTGATTGTATTTGTAGCAGATATGCTAAATCAACATTTCAAAGTGCATTCATGAAATCAGACAGGGGTCTAGGGCGGTCCATGAACTCAGCATTTCCATTAAGAAAGCGTGCTCTCTGCGAATGTTGTACCGGTACAGCTAGAAACCTCAGTGTTTTTCAAGTAACCGGTAATGATTCTTAGGCAAGTCTTTACTGTTGTTTAATAATTTATAATAAATTTATAATAAAATCGAGAAGAGTCAGAAACATTTTGGACTGTTAACTTCCAGGGGAAAGATTCTCAGACAACCCCTTCTAAATTTCAAATAAGTCTGAGAGAGTGCTATAAGTAACCTAGAGGTGCGGCTGGTATAGTCATAAATTTTGGACCTCAACCCCAACTTAGATGGAGTTGAGGTGTTTGGTTCCTCCATGTGTAAAGTCCCGGGGTCCCCTCATATTCGAATACCGTACTCGCGCGAATAAGCGCCCCGTTTGAATAAGCGCCCCTCTCGAATTACCGCCCGTGAAAATTTCCTTAAGCGCCCCGTTTGAATAAGCGCCCCCTTCTAATTTGAATAAGCTCCCCTCATAAGATTTTCTTTTTAGCAAGTCAGTAATCCAATCAATACTGGGAATGTGGTTGTTGGTATGATTTGAGCTGTAGAGTGGAAACACATTCTTCTTCAGTCAGTATCAAAATGAGGATATTTCTCTTGCAAATTCCCATCTAGTTTTCAAGAAAAAATACAATGATCCTGCCATCC